GTGGCGTGAGGGTTGGGGGGCTTGTTACTGTCCAGAGGGTATGAAAGTCCCAGCTCCTTCTAATCCCTCTCTGTCACCATTTTGATGGGGTTTTAGGGCCCCTTGTTATAGTCTCTTGAGGGTGGAAATCTGGGCACCCCACTTGGCTTTTGCTGGTGTTGATGGGGATGGGGCCACAGGTTCTTCTGCGGTATTTGGCTCTAGTAGAGTGGTTACTGTCTGAATATTTGGTCTTACTAGGCTTTTGCTGGAGATTTTTTGTCTGGAACATTAGTATTTCCAAGTTGCTGGCTTTTTCAGCTCCAAGTCTGAGATATATGAGGCAAAAATAAAACCAAGGGGCTGGGCGCAGTGGCTCACGCCTGTAATCCCAGCACTTTGGGAGGCCAAGGCGGTGGATCACCTGAGGTCAGGAGTTCAAGACCAGCCTGGCCAACATGGTGAAACCCCGTCTCTTTAAATAATAATAATAATAATAAAATAAAACCAGGGAACTGACCACTGGTCTTCTTACTTTTGTTTTACATACAATGTTCAGGGTTTTTAGTTATAGATCATGGGAGGAATCTATTCCATCTTTCTAGAAGCAGAGGTCTGTATATTTTCTTCTGTGAAGTGTCTGTTTAAGCCTTTTTCCCATTTACAATTAGGTGTCGTATCTCTTTATGATTTTAGAGGAGTTGTTTCTATATTTGTGATATGAATCCTCTGTCATATATGCTTTGCAAATATAGTCTCCTAGTCTGTGGCCTGCAATTTCTTAAATTACAGGTGTTGATTAACAGAAATTTAAAATTAAAAAAAATTGAGATGGAGTTTTGCTCTGTTGCCCACGCTGGAGTGCTGTGGTGAGATCCCAGCTCATTGCAACCTCCACTTCCCGGATTCAAGCAATTCTCCCACCTCAGCCTCCTGAGTAGCTGGGACTACAGGCACATGCCACCATATCTGGCTAATGTTTGTATTTTTAATAGAGATGGGGTTTTGCAATGTTGGCTAGGCTAGCCTTAAACTCCAGGCCTCAGTGATCCACCTGCCTTGGCCTCCCAAAGTGCTAGGATTACAGGCATGAGCCATTGTGCCCAGCCAGAAATTTAAAATTTTGATAAAGTCCAATTCCGGATATTTTTTTGGAGGTGGGTGGGTGGCGGGACAGGGTCTCGCTGTGTTGCCCATGCTGGAGTGCAGTGGTGTAATCTTGGCTCGCTGCAATTTCTGCCTCCTGGGCTCAAGCGATTCTCCCACCTCAGCCTCCTGAGTAGCTGGGACCACAAGCACCAGCCACCACGCCCGGCTAATTTTTGTATTGTAGAACAAGAGTCTGCAACTCCTGGCCTCAAGTGATATGCTCGCCTCAGCCTTCCAAAGTGCTGGGATTATACGTGTGAGTGACTGCACCTGTTCTCCAGATATCTTTTGAAATAAACTCCTTTATTGCGCTCATGCCTGTAATCCCTGCACTTTGGGAGGCCAAGGTGGGAGGGATTGCTTGAGCCCAGGATTTCAAGACCAGCCTGGGCAACATGGTGAAACCCTGTCTCTATAAAAAATACAAAAATTAGCCCAATGTAGTGGCATATGCCTGTATTCCCAGTTACTTGGGAGGCTGAGTTAGGAGGATCACTTGAACCCAGGAGATTGAGGCTGCAGTGAGCTAGACAATGCCACTGTACTCCAGCCTGGGCGACAGAGTGAGACTGTCTCAAAAAACAAACAAAGAAAAACCCCACAAAAACCCAAAACAACAAAAAATTCCTTTATTGCTAAGTAAGCCAAGGTAAGCTCTGTTGCTTATAGGTAATGTGGCTTACATAAGCCTTCAAAAACTTACCTTGGCTGGGCACAGTGGCTCACGCCTGTAACCCCAGCACTTTGGGAGGTCATGGCGGGTGGATCACTTGAAACCAGGAGTTCAAGACCAGCCTGGCCAACATGGTGAAACCCTACTTGACTAAAAATTAGTTGGGCAGGATGGTGTGTGCCTGTAGTCCCAGATACTCCAGAGGCTGAGGAGGGAGAATTTTTTGCTTGAATCCAGGAGGTGGAGGCTGCAGTGAGCCGAGATCATGCCACTGCACTCCATCCTGGGTGACAGAGTGAGACTCTGTCTCAAACAAACAAACAAACAAAAAACTCACCTTGATACTTACACATTTATCCTATACATGAATGATTTATTTATTCCCTCTATTGATTTAATTAGTTGATATTTTTACAAAAATAATTTGAATGCTCACATTTTTAGAATCCGTTTTTTGCAGTCGGTTCAACCAAAACTTTATGAACCTCATCACAACTAAGGCTTATTATTTTACAGTTTTGCCTTATTTTCTGCCTCAAACACCGTCTCAGGACTTAAGTATCCGGCAGACTTGGTTCTGCAAACTTTGCACTATTGCACAAATAAAATTCATTCTCAAGGGATGATAGATTGCCAACAAATGTTATTTAAATAGATATGTTACAAGTTCTGATGAGGAGCATTTAGCTAGTTTTTCCATGTATCCACAAGTAAATTTTTATATATGTGCACTTAGTTATAGACTGTCCCCATTGTTAGCAATTTCACTTCATTTGATTCTCTATCTGAATTTGCTCTTTCCATACGGTACTACTCTGGGGCCCTGAAGGGTTAAGAGAAAGAAATCCTCCTTAACCATATGCAGAGGGAAAGGGCCACATTGCTTCCAGCCAAGAAGAACTGTGAGGAATCAATAACAGGCAAGGGTAAGAAAACAAGACAGCTCCCCCTCCACTCCAGAATGAAAGAAATGAAAATGCATCTGGTACACTTATATTCAAATATATAAACATCTGCTCCTGATAACACAAATGATTTGGAGATAGTTGTGGTTTGGGTAGATGGTAGTGCTGTCTCCTGCTTCTCCTCCTCCTAAAAGTCCTAGAATCTCTCAAAGAGGGTGACTTTTCCTTTTCTTTTTCACTGAAATGCATTGTAGTGACACCGATAGAGCTTTCCCTGATGATTAGGTAGGTGTTAAATGTGTCCATGAAAGATAACAGCGTGATATTCAGTCCAAAGGAAATGGAATTAATGCTTGGTTATTGAAAACTATGATGAAAATGCCATAGATATTACACCAAGGGGACTGGCAGATCTTCACCCCCACATATGGGCTCTTGATACCTTTCATTATAACTTACAGGTATCAAAAATTAACATGCCAGAGCCCCTAAGGAAATCCATAGTATTATAAAAAGAACTGAATACATAACTGGCAGGTAATGATAAGATTAGACACATTTAACTCCTTAGGCATAGAGAGTCCAAGTTTTGTTCTTTTATTTATTTACTTATTTTTGGGACAGAGTCTTGCTCTGTTGCCCAGGCTGGAGTGCAGTGGTGTAATCTCAGCCCCCTACAACCTATACTGCCCTGGTTCAAGCAATTCTCCTGCCTTAGCCTCCTGAGTAGCTGGGACTACAGGCGCCCACTACCACACCTAACTTTTGTATTTTTAGTAGAGACGGGGTTTCACAATATTGACCAGGCTGGTCTCGAACTCCTGACCTTGTGATCCACCCACCTTGGCCTTCCAAAGTGCTGGGATTACAGACATGAGCCACCGCGTTTGGCCTTGTTCTTTTTTTAAAGAATAGACTCAGAATTATTTATGCATATTTAAAATGCTCTAGAACTACTTGGTCATAAATTATTCACTATCATACAAATTCATCACCTAACATAAGGGTAATTGTTGGAGCAATGCTTCTAAAATAGGTTTTGAGGATATGACAGACTAGTAAGTTTATTTTAATAAAAGTTGTTTTAATAAGAAGAAATAACGATTAAAAATAAACTGAGAGGGGAGGGGAGAAAAAATGAAAAAATATGCTTACAGGAATTTTTTTAAAAAGCGAATTGCTTGGCTGGGAGCAGTGGCTCATGCCTGTAATCTCAGTACATTGGGAGGCCAAGGCGGGTGGCTTGCCTGAGGCTAGGAGTTCGAGACCAGCCTGGCCAACATGGTAAAACCCCATCTCTGCTAAAATTATACAAATTAGCTGGGTGTAGTGGTGCATGCCTGTAATCCCTGCTACTCAGGAGGCTGAGGCAGGAGAATCACTTGAACCTGGGAGGCAGCAGTGGGCCGAGACTGGAGCCTGGGTGACAGAGTGAGACTCTGTCTCAAAAAAAAAAAAAAGCTATTGCTATATTTCTGAGTTTTTTCTTAGTCAAATGTAAATTTCTGTCTCTGTTTTTTAATTGACTGCTTCCAATCCCCTATGTATATGGACTGAATGATAAAGGAGTCTCTACTTCTCACAGACTCTGGCATTGGGAAAAACAGATTTTTCTGATTTGTTCTTTGTGCTTCCTAACTTCATTGTATTTTGTGGACTCTGGAAGCATTGATTGTTTCTACCAAAAATCCACTAACTTTTGACTATGGAACTCAAGTCCATCTAAAAGTCAAAAACCATTTCTGCAAATATTGTTGATACCTATTTCTATAGAATAAGACTGAGCAGAATATTCTTAAATTCCTTTATACTGTTACCTCTGGAAAATAAAAGTGGAATAATTCCTGTTAATTTTATCAGCAGTTCATGGAGACTGACTTAGCTTAGATATACTATGCAGTTGATAACATGTAATATATATCTGTTATATTATAAAACATGAGGGCCAGGCATGGTGGCTCACACCTATAATCCCAGCACTTCGGGAGGCTGACGGGGGTGGATTGCTTGAGCTCAGGAGTTTGAGACCAGCTTGAGCAATGTAGTAAATTCCTGTCTCTACTAAAAATACAAAATAAGGTGGTACAGTGGCACACACCTGTCGTCTCAGCTACTACAGAGGCTGAGGCAGGAGAATCGCTTGAACCCAGGAGGTGGAAGCTGCAGTGAGCTGAGATTGCACCACTCACTCCAGCCTGGCTGACAGAGCAAGACTCTGTCTCAAAAAAAAAAAAAAAAAAAAAACCCATAAAAAACCCAAAAAACAAAAAAAGCAAAACATATAAATATTTGTGTTCAATAAAACAATAACCCAATAAACATGATGTTTTATTATTAAAATCTTACAATGTCAACATCAATGTTAATAAAAATAGATAATAGGCTGAATTCATCAATGATAGAGTAAGTTGTAACTCACTTGAAGATTCCATCTTTCAAAGTAAGCCTTTCATAGATAAATGAAAATCCTATATTTTGTAGAATTTTAAAGATTGTTAAAGACTGGGTCAAGGCAGAGCCACCTCTATTAGAAGGGGAAAGAAAAGCAAGATGAAACAAATAGGTTATCATACATATTGCATGTGCTATGAGATCTTTCTACTCCTGCTGGATTGAAAATTCTAGATTTCAACATTCTGCAGGATTTAGCAAGTCAATAAAAGCAGAATTCAAATCTAGACTGATGGAAAAGACTTCAGTTTCCACTTGAAATTGATGTTTTTCCTCTTCATAGTACTTGCACTTTAAACAAATGAAATCTTACTGTCTACTAAGGTATTTATGTGTTGAGATTATGGGTTCTTTTCATATTGAATTTTAAGAGATGCTGCTTTGCTGTCTGCATTTTTAGGCTGTTAGGAGGAATAATGTTTACTTGCAATGAATCAGTACAGGGTTGTTGACACGGTGACCCTTTGAAAGCAAAGACAATATAAAAAAGAATTTTTTCAAAAAATACTTTAACATATAGGGACTTGCTTTGTATATACATGCTATAGTTAAAGATAAAATGTGGATTAATTATTATACTTGGGAAATAGGTATTTATTTTCACTAATGAGCTCTGTGTGTGTATGTGCGTGTATGTGTGTGTGTGTGTATGTGTGTTCGAGGGAGAGAGAGAGAGAGATTATTTTTCAGCTTAAATAAGACTATAACTTCCTGAGAACCCTCTCTAATTAGGTAAAACACTGATTGAGATATTCAGTCTCCTTAACAAGAATTGTAAGAAAAGTCTACTTTGTACATTCATAAGCTGAAACAGATTATCATGTAGTAACCAAATGGGACATCTGTTTAACCAGATGTTTTAGTTAAGAGACGTGTAAATATGATTCTAAATGTATAAATATGTTGGTTATTCTTCCTTGTCTGGGAAGTTGTGCCAAAGTTTACATAGATTAGAGGAAAGGTTGAGTCTGGAAAAATTAAAAAATATTACATAAATGAGGAGAAAGTAATACAATAAGGTCAGTTGGCAGTGATTTTAACAATTATATACAGGGCCTTCCTTTGCTTCACCTCAAGGCTCACATACAAGTGACCTGAGTCACTCCATCTTCCTGATCTAACTGTCCGTCATCTAATTCCCGGAGGACACTGTCGCTGCTGCTGACCCCAGAGAAGCTGTTGTGCTGTGCCAGCCTCCCCTCCTTTGTCCAGCATTCCCTGGAGGGAGAAAGGGGGCACTCCTCAGGTGGGTGTCTGCTCTCTGCAGGTTGTGATGCGGTTGTGTCTAATCCGATGCTCCTACTGGTGGCTTTGTTCTTGTCTTCACCTTTTATGTGGCGGCTGGCTTTCTTCTGAAACACAAGACATTGGTGACCAGGAGTTAAAAAGATGGGTGTTTCCTGTCCCTCTGCTCTAACATATGCTGCTTTTCTGCCTCCTGGAATGTCCTTCCCTCCCACCCCCCCACCCCCCAGGCTCTTCAAAATCCTGTTCATCTTCAACTACCAGCTCAGGGCCACCTCCACATTCCCCTCTCCACCCAATAGAAGTGAACTCCGTTATCCCTGTTTTGCAACTCTCTGTAGGTTCCTGGCACATCATTCTCATTGGCAGATACGTTATGTACACATCTCGGCCCTCAAGGACATCTCTAAGGAAATAAATTTGTTGAAATCATACTTTGGGAGAACAAAGCAAGGTAGAAACCATTTTCTTCTTAGTGTTAGTTGGGATCTATACAGCAGAAAAAGTGCTTCAATGGCCACCTTACACCCATTTCATGTAGGCACAGGCTGCACAGAAGAGTCACAGTGATATGGTTTGGCTGTGTCCCCACCCAAATCTCTTTTTGAATTATAGCTCCCGTAATTCCCATGTGTTGTGGGAGGGACCCAGTGGGAGGTACTTGAATCATGGGGGTGGGTCTCATCCCGTGAATAAGTCTCATGAGATCTGATGTTTTATAAAGGGGAGTTCCCTTGCACATGCCCTCTCTTGCCTGCCACCATGTAGGACGGGACTTTGCTCGTCATTCACCTTCTGCTATGATTGTGAGGCCTCCCCAGCCACGTGGAACTGTGAGTCAATTAAACCTCTTTCCTTTATAAATTATCCAGTCGTGGGTGTGTCTTTATTAGCAGTGTGAGAACAGACTAATACACACGGATAATTCAGACTGAGTTTATTTTGAGCGAGTGTCTAGAATGTCTTCAAGGGTGAAGTCCTGCTGCAAACTGCTTCTGCCTGACAGAGTATAAACGCTCAATAATTCAATTCAGCTCATTCAGACTCTCTGATCATCTGTAGATGTTTTTGCTGATAATATTTACTGAGGGCAGAGAATGTTCTTGGTTTAGTCCAGAATAAAGGGACATGGTCTCTGCCGAGGAAACTTGGGTCAAAATAAGGTATCTAGCTGAGCGAAGTGGCATGAGCCTGTAGGCCCAGCTACTCAGGAGGCTGAAATGGGAGGATTGCTTGGGCCCAGGAGTTTGAGGCCAGCTTAGGCAACATAGTGATATATCAGGTCATATATATATATGAAAAAAATAAGGTAGCTAAGTCAATAAAAGGAAAGCACAAGAATAATTAGCTGTTTAACTTGTGATGTTCAGACTCCTGATGAGATTTCATTTTAAGAGCCTTTTTTTTTTTGACAGAGTCTTGCTCTGTCGCCTAGGCTGGAGTGCAGTGGTGCAACCTCAGCACACTGTAGCCTCTGCCTCCCTGGTTCTAGCAATTCTCTTGCCTCAGCTTCCTGAGTAGCTGGGATTCCAGGCATGCACCACCATACCCAGCTAATTTTTATGTTATTAGTAGAGACAGGGTTTCACCATGTTGGCAAGGCTGGTCTTGAACTCCTGATCTCAGGTGATCTGCCCATCTCTGCCTCCCAAAGTGCTGGGATTACTGGTGTGAACCACTGCATCTGGCCCTTTTAAAAGCTTATTTAACATTGATAACATGGCAGATATTAGAGAACATGATCATATACTCCCAGGCACATAAAACTGAATATAGATTGAAAGATACATTTAAAAATCATAGTAACTTCCCAGTTTACAAAGAACCCATTTACTGAACATTCATTTATGTGTTAGTTGGGAACTAGGATTGCATTTTCCTGAATGTAAGAGCTAAAATTATAAAATTCTTAGAAAAATCATAGAAATTGAATGCGCAGGCTGATCTTACAAAAGTTTGTTAATGATTTGTCTGTTGAAATGTAGTGTGGCCGGGCACGGTGGCTCACGCCTGTAATCCCAGCACTTTGGGAGGCTGAGGTGGGCGGATCACCTGAGGTCAGGAGTTCGAGACCAGCCTGACCAATATGGTGAAACCCCATCTTAAAAAAATAAAAAAATAAAAAATAATTTGAAAAAAAAAATAAAAGAAATGTAGTGTGTAAAATACTGGGGTATTTTCTGCTGGTTTTTACAGCAAATATACAAAGTAAACAAATAGCTTTATTAAGGTAGATTTTGTGAGCTACTGTGGAATGTAATGCTGTTTATGACATTGTTTGTACAGGAAGAGGCAGCCCCAGGGGGTTGCACAGAAAGGAGTGTATTGGCAGCTCAGAGGCAGCTCATCTTTTTCTTGGCCAAGTTACTGGAGTTGGGCAAGTTTAAGGGAAAAGTTGTGAAAGGGAAATAAACCTTGGGAGCCCCAAATCACTAAGCTAAAAGTAAAAGTCAAGCTGAGAATGGCGTAGGGCAAACCTGCCTCTCATTCTATTCAAATTCACCTCTCTGCTCTCTAAGATAAATACATATCTGATTGCCTCTTTTGGAGAGGCTAATCGGAAACTCAAAAGAATGCAACCACTTGTCTCTTATCTACCTGTAACCTGAAAGCCCCCTCCCGGTTTTAGTCCCATCTTTCCTACTGAACCAAAGTTCATCTTACATATGTTGATTGATGTCTCATGTCTCCCTAAAATGTATAAAACCAAACTGTGCTCTGACCACCTTGGGCACATGTCCTCAGGACCTCCTGAGGCTGTGTCATGGGCTTGAGTCTTCAACCTTGGCAAAATAAACTTTTTAAATTAACTGAGACCTGTCTTATATATCACAAAGTCAACAGTAGATCCTTCCTCAACAAAGGCCCACCTTCCTGGTCCCAAGTTGGACACAGTTTGGTGTTTGTCACATTTCCCACTGGCACCCAGTGGAAATGCATTTGATATTCATCAAGTGCAAATATCAGCTCTTCGGTTCTTTTCCTGTTTATTTCTATTCACCAAATTTGTTGAATTTAATATATGCAGTGGAACCTGACAGATTCACTCTCAGAAAATGTACAAAATTTGAGAATGGCACTTTCTTCCCTGCACTGGGGCACTGGTCAGTTTTTTTCTTGTCAATTTGTTTAAGTTCCTTGTAGATTCTGGATATTAGCCCTTTGTCAAATGAAGAGATTACAAAAATTTTCTCTCATTCTGTAGGTTGCCTGTTCACTCTGATGATAGTTTCTTTTGCTGTGTAGAAGGTCTTTGATCCAATTTGTCAATTTTGGCTTTTGTTGCCATTTTTTTTTGGTGTTTTAGTCATGTAGTCTTTGCCCATGCCTATGTTCTGAATGATACTGCCTAGGTTCTCTTCTAGGGTTTTTATGGTTTTAGGTCTCATGTTTAAGTCTTTAATCCATCTTGAGTTAATTTTTGTATAAGGTGTAAGGAAGGGATCGATGGCTAGTCAGTTTTCCCAACACCATTTATTAAACAGGAAATCCTTTCCCCATTGCTTGTTTTTGTCAGGTTTGTCAAAGATCAGATGGTTGTAGATGTATGGTGTTATTTCTGAGGCCTCTGTTCTGTTCCATTGATTTATATCTCTGTTTTGGTACCAGTAACATGCTGTTTTTGTTACTGTAGCCTTGTAGTATAGTTTGAAGTAAGGTAGTGTGATGGCTCCAGTTTTATTCTTTTTGTTTAGGATTTTCTTGGCTATGCAGACTCTTTTTTGGCTCCATATGAAATTTAAAGTAGTTTTTTTTTTTGTTTTTTTTCTAATTCTGTGAAGAAAGTCAATGGTAGCTTGATGAGGATAGCATTGAATCTATTGATTACTTTGGGCAATATGGCCATTTTTATGATATTGATTCTTCCTATCCATGAGCATGGAATGTTTTTCCCTTTGTTTGTGTCCTCTCTTATTTCCTTGAGCAGTGGTTTATAGGACCTCTTCCTTGAAGAGGTCCTTCATACCCCTTGTAAGTTGTGTACCTAGGTATTTTATTTCCTTTGTAGCGATTATGAATGGGGGTTCACTCATGATTTGGCTCTCTGTGTGTCTGTTATTGGTGTATAGGACTGCTTGTGATTTTTGCACACTGATTTTGTATCCTGAGACTTTCCTGAAGTTGTTTATCAGCATAAGGAGATTTTGGGCTGAGGATGGGGTTTTCTAAATAAACAGTCTTGTCTTCTGCAAACAGAGACAATTTGACTTCCTCTTTTTTTAACTGAATACCTTTTACTTCTTTTTCTTGCCTGATTGCCCTGGCCAGAACTTCCAATACTATGTTGAATGGGAGTGGTAAGAGAGGGCATCCTTTGTCTTATGCCAGTTTTCAAAGGGAATGCTTCCAGTTTTTGCCCATTCAGTATGATATTGGCTGTGGGTTTGTCATAAATAGCTCTTATTATTTTGAGATATGTTCCATCAATACCTAGTTTATTGAAAGTTTTTAGCATGCAGGGCTGTTAAATTTTGTCAAAGGCCTTTTCTGCATCTATTGAAATAATCATGTGGTTTTTATCATTGATTCTGTTTATGTGATGGATTATGTTTATTGATTTGCATATGTTGGACCAGCCTTGCATCCCAGGGACGAAGCCGACTTGATTGTGATAGATAAGCTTTTTGATGTGCTGCTGGGTTTGGTTTGTCAGTATTTTATCGAGAATTTTCACATCAATGTTCATCAGGGATATTGGCCTGAAATTTTTTATGCTGGTTTCTCCCCAACTTTGTGGATTTATCTACCTTCGGTCTTTGATGTTGGCGACCTTTGGATGGGGTATCTGAGTGGACATCCTTTTGTTGATGTTGATACTATTCCTTTCTGTTTGTTAGTTTTCCTTACAGTCAGGTCCCTCTGCTGCAGGTCTGCTGGAGTTTGCTGGAGATCCACTCCAGACCCTGTTTGCCTGGGTATCATCAGTGGAGGCTGCAGATCAGCAAAGATTGATGCCTGTTCCTTCCTGTGGAAGCTTTGTCCTAGAGGGGCACCCACCAGATGCCAGCCAGAGCTCTCCTGTATAATGTATCTGTCAGCCTCTACTGGGAGGTGTCTCCCAGTCAGGAGACACAGGGGTCAGGGACCTTCTTGAGGAGTTAAT